CAACCAGCCAGCCAGCCCACCCAGCCACCCCGCCACCTAGCCAACCCGTCAGCCAACCAGCCCAGCCGCCCACCCCGTCATCCCGCCAACCAGCCGATCCCCTCCGCCTGCTCTCCGTGCCCAACCAGCCACCCTGCCAACCCGCTCTCCCCCGCCGCCTGCCCTCCGTCACCGCCGAGAGGGGGGGAGAAGTGTTTCTTACCAGCGAAAACCAGAAAAAACTAGCCCTTCCGGGGACCAGCGAGACAGCGGGGAGGGGGCAAATCGCACCGTACTTTGCAGGACGGGAATGGCGGGGGGGTGCGCCCGGCACGGTTTTGGGCCTCACGTGTGTAATTGTCGTAATTTGTCAACGTCCACCGCGCCCTCTTTCTCAATGGGAAGGCTCCCATCCTTGAAACTGTCGCCAATTTGGAGGCCCCGCGCGTGGCTTCTTAGAGAGCCGCCAAGAGGCCCCAGGAGGTCTCAGGAGGCATCAGGAAGCTCCAGGAAGCTTCAGGACGTCCCCGGAGGCAGTGGGAATCCTACGGAGGCTCCAGGGCGCTCCAGGAGGTCCCAGGATGCCCCGCGAGGTCCCACAAGGCCCCAGGAGGTCCCATCACGCTCCGGGCGTATCCTGAACGACCCAAAAGTTCCAGAATGCTGCGGACGCCCCTGGAGGACTGAGGATACCCTAGGAGAGCCCAGGAGGTTTCAAGAGGCCGCAGGAAGCCCCCAGAGGTTGTTATCCCAGGAGGCCCCCGGGATTACCAGGAGGCTCCGTGAGGTCCCATGGTCCATCACGCCCGAGGTGGGGAGGGGGAGGCGGAGGAGGAGGAGGACGTGGAGGAGGAGGAGGAGGAGGAGGAGGAGGAGGAAGAGGAGGACAAGGAAAAGGAGGATGAGGAGGACGAGGAGAAGGATGAGGAGGAGGACGAGCATGATGAGGAAAGGACGAGCAGGGTGACGCCGTGACGCCCCAGCAAATACACTTGGTCCAATTGGTTTCTACCCCCGCGAGGGGCGCTACATGGTAGTAGTAGTACTCGTAGTAGTAGCAGTAGTAGTAGTAGTAGTAGTAGTAGTAGTAGTAGTAGTAGTATCAATAGTAGTAGCACTGGCAGTCGTAGTCGTAATACTCGTAGTAGTAGTAGTAGTAGTAGTAGTAGTAGTAGTAGTAGTAGTAGTAGTAGTAGTAGTAGTAGTAGTACAGCAGCAGTAGTAGTAGTAGTAGTAGTAGTAGTAGTAGTAGTAGTAGTAGTAGTAGTAGTAGTAGTAGTAGTAGTAGTAGTAGTAGTAGTCGTCGTCGCCGTCGTAGTAGTAGTAGTAGTTGTTGTTGTTGCAGTATTCGTAGTAGTAGTCGTACTCGTAATCGTAGTAGTAGTAGTAGTAGTAGTAGTAGTAGTAGTAGTAGTGGTAGTAGTAGTCGTAGTAGTGGTAGTAGTAGTAGTAGTAGTAGTAGTAGTAGTGGTAGTAGGAGTAGTAGTAGTAGTTGTTGTAATCGTTAGTTGTAGTAGTCGTTGTAGTCGTAGTAGTAGTATAGTTAGTAGTAGTAGTAGTAGTAGTAGTAGTAGTAGTAGTAGTAGCAGTCGTCGTAGTAGTAGTCGTAGTAGTAGTAGTAGTAGTAGTAGTACTAGTAGTAGTAGTAGTAGTAGTAGTAGTAGTAGTACTCGTCGTAATAGTAGTAGTAGTAGTAGTAGTAGCAGTATTCGTAGTAGTAGTCGTACTCGTAATCGTAGTAGTAGTAGTAGTAGTAGTAGTAGTAGTAGTAGTAGTAGTAGTAGTAGTAGTAGTAGTAGTAGTAGTAGTAGTAGTAGTAGTGGTAGTGGTAGTGGTAGTGGTAGTGGTAGTGGTAGTGGTAGTGGTAGGAGTAGTAGTAGTAGAGCTATTGTTGTTGTTGTAGCCGTATCCTATTTTGTATGTAGTAGTAGTAGTCGTAGTAGTAAGTAGTAGTAGTAATAGTATGTAGTGTATTAGTCGTATCAGTTAGTAGTTGTAGTAGTGGTAGTAGTAGTAGTAGCACTAGGTAGTAGTCGTAGTAGTAGTAGTACTACTACTACTACTACTACTACTAGTAGTAGCACTAGTCGTTGTAGTAGTAGTAGTAGTAGGAGTAGTAGTAGTAGTAGTAGTAGTAGGAGGAGTAGTAGTAGTAGTAGTAGTAGTCGTAGTAGTAGTAGTAGTAGTAGTAGTAGTAGTAGTAGGAGGAGGAGGAGGAGGAGGAGGAGGAGGAGGAGGAGGAGTAGTAGCCGTCGTATTTGTCGTATGGTAGTAGCAGAAAGTGGGAGGAGGAGGAGGAGGAGGAGGAGATGGATTTGTCAAGCTGGAGCGGGAGTGTGGCCGGAGGAGGGGGACGAGGAGGAGCGCCCATTCTACCCTTCTTCCCTTTTCCCCTCTTGATCCTTCATCATCTGTTCCTTTTTCCCTTCCTCTTCCATTCCCTCCCTCTTCTCCTCATTTAGCTTCGCCTCGTGGAATCGCTAGTGACGGCCCCTCTCCTCCCTCTTCTCGTTTCTCCCAGGCACGTGCTGGCGTCCCGAGCCTGCTCGGTATCGGAGGTGGTGCCCTACGAGAAGGGGAAGCACTTTGGTATCCTGGCCGATTATGAGTACCCCATCAGGTATTCGGAGGCGGGCCTCTTCTCCGAGGCGGTGGCATGATGAGGGAGTGGAGGAGGTGGAGAATAAGGAGGATGAGACGAGGGCGCTGCAGGCGAATGGTTTAAGTTTCTTCCAAGCGACGGAAGGGCACGCTCATTTTTGCAAGGCGCGCGCGAAGCAGTGGAGAGATACAGTTCACGATCAAGGTGCTTCTCCTCCTGGTACCTCCCCTTCCTCCATCACCTTCCTGGTATTCTGCTGCCCTGGCCTCCCCCTCCTCCCCCTCCTCGACTTCCTGCTGGGCTCCTGCCGAGCCCCTGCGAGGCGCAGAAGGGGTACGGGACGTGGGGCGAGCTTCTGAAGGTGCTCGGTGAGCAGTGCCCATCGGACGAGGTTGTCCTCGCGGTCGAGAGGCCTCTCCCCAAGCCGGAGTCGCCAGGAGTTGCACCGTCGCTTCCTTGGAAAGACTGGACGAAGTGGACGAATGCTACGTTTCACAGGGACATAAACTTGGCGGCGAAGGCCTTCGTGACCCTGGGCGTTGAAAGGTTCGGTTCCGTGGCCATCTTTGGCTACAACGCCCCCGAGTGGATCATCAGTGCTTACGCTGCCGTGTCCTGCGGCGCCAAGTTCGCGGGCATCTACATGACGGACACTCCTGACCAGATCCAGTACAAGGTGTCCCACTCGGGGGCGGCGGTGGTGGTGTTGGACTCGAAGGTGGAGTTCGACGGGGTCGCCTCCAAGATTGAGGAGCTCCCAGGTCTCAAGGCCGTGCGGGCGAACGCGTCGTGCCCTCTGGCGGGGGCGCAGTCAATACAGGGAGGACTCGCGCGGCAGATAATGTTGCTGATGATGGTGATGTTGATGATGATGGTGATGGTGATGGCGCTGGTGCTGGTGATGGTGATCGTGATGGTGATGGCGATGATGATGATGATGATGATGATGATGATGATGATGATGATGAGGATATGATGATGGGGATGATGATGATGATGATTATGCTGATGATGCTGATCATGCTGATAATGATTATACGGATGATGATGGTAATGACGATGATGGTGATGTCGATGATGATGATAATGGTGATGATGATTACGAACATCGTAAAGGTGCTGTATTTGATGATGACTGTGATAATGATAATGATGATGCTGATAATGATAATGATGATGATGATGATGATGATGATGATGATGATGATGATGATGATGATGATGATGTCGATGATGATGCTGCTGCAGATGATAATAATGTGCTGATGCTGATGCTTCTGATGATGCTGCTGCTGATGATGATAATGCTGCTGCTGATATTGACTATGATGATGATTCTTCTGCTGATGATGATGATGGGGGCAATGACGATGCTGTTGATGATGATGGTTATAATAATCTTGATGATGCGGATAATGCTGCTGCTGATGATTTTGCTGATTATGATGCTGATCAGTATGCGTATGATCATGATGCTGTTAATGATGATGATGATGATGACGATGATGTTACTGATGTTGATAGTGGTGATGCTGCTGATGGTGATGCGGATGCTGATGATGATGGTGATGATGTTGATGTTCATTATGATGCTGACGCTTCTAGTGCTGATGACGATGATGATGATGATGATGATGATGATGATTATGATTATGATGATGATGATGATGATGATGATGATGATGATGATGATGATGATACTGATGATGATGCTGCTGATGATAGTACTGATGCTGCTGATGATGGTGTTGATGATGATTCTTCAGGCTTCCGCCACATCCGCCGACCCCTTGGATTTTCCCCGGGATCGTTCACCACAGCTTCCTTGCAAACCGTGGGAAAATGAGGTTGTTCAGGGCCCGTCACAGCGAGAAGGGGAGCCGACATGGGTCGCAAACTGGCCCAGAGGGCTTCCAGACGGCCCAAGCGAACCCCAAGACGGCACAGGGAGGTTTTTTGGGTTGTATTTGGGGCCTTGCACGGATGCCGGAGCCAGGGAAGTATGTTACACCCCGGAGACATCTTACGGTTGTCGGCGGTTTCCAAGCGGGATGTCCCGCTAATTGTTAATGTTCGGAGATGTTTGGGCTGACCTTGTCGATGGCAATGACGTCGTTTATGATCACGACACTGATGACGATGATCGGCTCCCTCTCTTCTCTTCCTCCCTCTGCTCCTCCCTCCTGCTCCTCTTTCTGCCTCTCCTCCTCTTCCTTCTCCTGCCCTTCCTCCTCCTCCTCCTCGTCCACGTCCTTCTTCCCTTCCCTTCCCCGCCTGCTTCTCCTCCTCCTTCTTGTCCTTCTCCTGCTGTTCCTCCTCCCGCCCTTCGTCCCTCTCCTCCTCCTCCTCCTCCTCCTCCTCCTCCTACTCCTCCTCCTCCTCCTCCTCCTCCTCCTCCTCCTCCTCCTCCTCCTCCCCCGCCTTCTCCTCCTCCTTATCCCCCTTCCCTTCCCGGCCTTCTCCTCCTCTTCCTTCCCCTCCTTGTCCTCTTCCTCCTCCTCCTTCTCCTCCTCCTGCTCCTCCTCCCCCCCCCCTCCTTCTCCTGTCGCGGGGCCCTCGTGGAGGCTTCTTGGACCGTCTTGGCGCGGTCTTGGGAGGCTCTCGGGCCGCCCCGGAGCGCCCCAGAAGGCGCACGTACGAAGAATACATGTTTTACGAAGAGAACGGGCGATTTTATACAGCGAGAGGCCCTCCAGGGGCGCATAGTGAAAGCCTCGTGGGGCGTCTTGGGGGGCCTCTGCAGCCGTCGGGAGGCCGTCGTCAGCGTTTTGGATCGCTCTTGGACCGTCGAGGACCATGTGGAGCTCTCGTCGAGGCCGCTCGGACCGCTCCTGGAGCGCTCTCGGAGCCGTTTTCGGAGCCCTTTTGGGCCGTCTTGGACGTGTGTTTGCGCGTCTTGGGGCCCTCGAGGGCTCTGTGGGAACCCTCTTGGGGGCGTCTTGGGCCGTCTGGGAGCGGGTTTGGGTGGCTCTGGGGCCGTCCAGGAGCGGGGGACACCCCAAAAGGCGCACGTGTGAAACAATATACGTTTGACGAAGGAAACGAAGGATTCTTTGAGTCTAGAGGCCCTCTGTGGGCGCATCGTGGATGCCTCTTGGGGCGTCTTGGGGGCCTCTTCAGCCGTCGGGAGGCCGTCGTCAGCGTTTTTGATCGCCCTTGGACGGTCGAGGACCATGTGGAGCTCTCTTCGAGGCCACTCGGACCGCTCCTGGGGCGCTCTCGGAGCCGTTTTCGGAGCCCTTTTGGGCCGTCTTGGACGTGTGTTGGCGCGTCTTGGGGCCCTCGAGGGCTATGTACGGACCCTCTTGGAGACGTCTTGGACCGTCTGGGAACGGGTTTGGGGGGCTCTGGGGCCGTGCAGGAGCGGGGGTCACCCTCAAAGGCGCACGTGTGAAACAATATACGTTTTACGAAGGAAACGAACGATTTTTTTGCGTCTAGAGGGCCTCTTGGGGGGAATCTTGGATGCCTGTGGGGGCGTCTGGGGAGGCCTCGTGAGCCGTCGGGAGGTCGTCGTCGATGTTTCTGATCGCTCTTGGACCGTCTGGGACCATGTGGAGCTTCGGGGAGGCAACTCGGAGCGCTCCTGGAACGCTTTTGGGGCCGTTTTCGGAGCCCTCTTGGGCCGTCTTGGACGCCTGTTGGCCCATCTTGGGCCCTCTAGGGGTCTGTGGGGGACCCTTTGCGAGGCTTCTGGGGCCGTCTGGAAGCGGGTTTGGGAGCCTCTTGGGCCGTCGGGGAGCATCGGAAAGATCCAAAGCTTTTTTTTTTTTTAATGTACATTTCACAATGGGAATGGCCCAATTTTGGCGTCTAGGGACCCTTGTGGAACGCATCTCGGAGGCCCTCGGGGGAGCTCGTGGGGACCTCTTCTGCCGTCGAGGACGCCTCGTGGCCCGTCTTCGGGCAAACTTGGACGTCTTGGAGCGCTCGTGGGGCGTCCCAAATCCATTTCGAAGCCACCAGACGCGTCCCTACACGAATTTCACGTGTTTTTCCACGTTTTTCGTCACCCCCAAAAGCGCACGTGTGAAAAAATATACGTTTTACGAAGGAAACAAACGATTTTTTGCGTCTAGAGGGCCTCTTGGGGGGAATCTTGGATGCCTGTGGGGGCGTCTGGGGAGGCCTCGTGAGCCGTCGGGAGGTCGTCGTCGATGTTTCTGATCGCTCTTGGACCGTCTGGGACCATGTGGAGCTTCGGGGAAGCAACTCGGAGCGCTCCTGGAACGCTTTTGGGGCCGTTTTCGGAGCCCTCTTGGGCCGTCTTGGACGCCTGTTGGCCCATCTTGGGCCCTCTAGGGGTCTGTGGGGGACCCTCTGCGAGGCTTCTGGGGCCGTCTGGGAGCGGGTTTGGGAGCCTCTTGGGCCGTCGGGGAGCATCGGAAAGATCCAAAGCTGAATTTTTTAAAATGTGCATTTCACAATGGGAATGGCCCAATTTTGGCGTCTAGGGACCCTTGTGGAACGCATCTCGGAGGCCCTCGGGGGAGCTCGTGGGGACCTCTTCTGCCGTCGAGGACGCCTCGTGGCCCGTCTTCGGGCAAACTTGGACGTCTTGGAGCGCTCGTGGGGCGTCCCAAACCCATTTCGAGGCCACCAGACGCGTCCCTACACGAATTTCACGTGTTTTTTCCACGTTTTTCGGGAGCGGATGAGACCTCCGGGGGGTTCCGGCCCGTCCGGCCGGACCCCCCCCCCTCCAAATGGACCGGACCGGGCTCCCGGGGGAGGGGTTTGGGGAGGGGGAACATCTCACACGCCGATGAACCCCAAGGGGTCGGCGGATTATGTTGACGATGACGATCATGATGCTGATGATGTTGATGATGCTGATGATGCTGCTGACGGTGATGACGATGATGATGCAGTTGATGATGATGCTGCTGGGGATGATGCTGATGATGATGACGGCGATGATGATGCTGATGATGGTGATGCTGATCATGATGATGCTGTGATCAGGTTGGCAGTGTTGGTGCTGATGCTGATGATGGTGATGATTACGATGGTGACTGTGGTGATTGATTATGATAATTCTGATGATGGTGCTGATGATTCTGATACTGATGGTGATGGTGATGGTGATGCTGCTGCTGATAATGGTTGTGGTGGTGTTGATCATGCTGATCATGATGATTCTGCTTGGGATGTTTGTGGTGTTGCTGATGATGATGATGGTGGTGGTGATGGTGTTGATGATGATGATGCTGATGATGCTGATGCTGCTGATGGTGATTATGAGTATGATGCTGCTGATGATGATGCTGATGCTGCTGCTGCTGCTGATGATGATGATGCCGATTCATGTTATGATCATGAGTCTAGTGATAATGATGAGGATGATAATGGTGATAACGATTGTGATGATGGTGGTGCTGATTATGGCGGTGGCGATGACGATGATGACTATGAGCATCCAGTTGCGCTGCCGCATACATCCCCCACCGGGCTCGGGCTGGC